AACCTCATTACATCTCAAACCTCATTACATCACAAACCTCATTACAATACAAACCTCATTACATCACAAACCTCATTACATCACAAACCTCATTACATCACAAACCTCATTACAACACAAACCTCATTACATAACAAACCTCATTACATCTCAAACCTCATTACATCACAAACCTCATTACATCTCAAACCTCATTACATCTCAAACCTCATTACAACTCAAACCTCATTACATCACAGTGTTTTCCAGCTTTTTGCGAACATTTAGCTGAGTCTTGTGTTCGCTCAACAGTCTCCAGCTTCTGGCTTAATGCCAACCAGCTAGCTGAGATATCTGCCAAAACTAGAACAAACGTGGCTTTAGCTAACCGAGCTAAAGTTAGTTGTGGTTGTAGCTTCGAGCAATCCCCAACACATACTGACTACAAATCCAAAGTCCAAGATGGCTGCCAAAGCTAATTAGCCATAACTAGGTTGGATTTAGTAATATCGAGCTACAGTTAGGTGATCTAGTAGCCGATCCCCAACACATGCTAAATGCAAATCAGATTTCAGAATCGTTCTACTTATTTTACCCTTTTCTGTTCTCTTTACATTCCTTCGGCTAATTTCAGCTGCTTTTCTCTTCCATTCGGCTTTTTCCAGCACATTTCTGATATTCTGCTGTTTCCATTTTTAATTTTCCTGTTTTCAGCGATCTTCAGCTGTTGTCCCGGTGCCTGTTGGTCACTTCTGGAGCTGCAGCATCAAAGGCCCAAATCAGGTTCATTTTCCACGTTTTCAACCCGTAACTGATTTTTAGGAGCGCCGGGACGTGACAAATCATTTTTTCAAACCTGACCCAGGTCTTGCTCATCTGTGGTTCTGAATCAGATCCACATGCACGTCGTCTGCGGGGTGCTTCAGAACCGGACCCTGGAGGCTGCTGGAGTTAAATTATCATCCGAACGACCTCAGAAACATCTGGAGGTTGAAACTTGCAGGTTTATTTCATTTAGCTGGAAAATAATAAATAATAACAAATTTCTGTTCCAGATTAAAAAACAATTTTTTTTATTTAAAACTCGTGTATAAATATTGAAGTCTTATAGAAACCAGAACCGGTTCCGCTTCAGGACAATAAAGAGTTTTCATTTTCTCTTTATGTGAACAAAGCAAGACGATGCCTTCACAGATTCAAACCGACAACCGAACGAGAAAAGAACCCTCATGAAGTTCAAGGTTCTGAGTCCGGTTCTGCTCAGTCTTTTTATGAAACGGACTCAACACAAATATTTCTCGGATCAGATGATTTCTTGTTGAGGACCACATCGTGTTTCAGTTTTAACTGTACAGTTTTTGTCCATCTGACCCGGGTCTCAGTGAGCCAGGTCTCAGTGGGCCGGGTCTCAGCATCACTTTAAACAGAACCAACAGATCAGTTTTTACACGGCTCCACAAACATCACAGTATTCAAAAGTTCAGTTTTATACTCGTCCTGCAGCCGGGTCAGCCGGTTCTGTTGGGTTTTTTCACGATACAGTAGAATCACATCAGCGGCTCTAAAACTCACCTCGTCATCCTGGGAAGTTTTAAAAACTTTTATTCTCTCCAGCAGAAGAAGGCGGCAGAGTTAAACCTCAGAGGGTCCAATAACGGTTCCTGGGGGGACGCCTCAACCCATGAAGACTGCTTTTTAAAATTTATGTCCACAATAAGTGTCAATCCTTTAGAGCAATCTCAGCCTGAAAAAAAAAAATCATCTAATCAAACTTTTTTTTTTTTACATTTGAGTTCTTTTAAGGGTCTTCAGTAAAAAAACAAAATAAAAATAAAATAAATACAAAATTAAAAATGAAAACTGGCAGATTTTTTCTCCATGAGAACTTCTGAAGGTCAAATGATAAAAATCATGGATCTGAAGAAATCTGTGAGCTCAGAGACGTTAGCAGAAGGTTGAGCTGATTCTGAGGACAGAGGCCGAGGACAGAGGCTGAAGACAAAGACTGAGGATGGAGGCTGAGGACAGAGGCTGAAGATGGAGGCCGAGGATGGAGGCTGAGGACAGAGACCGAGGACAGAGACCGAGGACAGAGGCCGAGGACAGAGGTTGAAGACAAAGACTGAGGACGGAGGCTGAGGATGGAGGCTGAGGACAGAGACTGAGGACAGAGACCAAGGAC